GGGGGGGGCTGGCGTCCTTCTCGGATATGTGTATTGCATCACGTCAGACCTGCGCTCGCTGCTCAGCGCGGCGCGCACGCTTGACCGCCGACGCCTCGCCGCTCCTCCAAGAGGGGCACGGGGGCCGCGTGACCTCGCGACCGGCACTAGAAACGCCGGCCAGAGCAGAGGGACAAAAGCAGTAGGTGAAGCGGCAGGCCAGCGTGGTGACGGTGACAGACACCGACAGACTGACACACTGTCAGTGGCGCGACATTCTCGATGGCACAGTAGCACAAAGCGTGAAAGTATGCATATGGTGACGACCGGCGCTCTATGGGCACAGCGCTCTGCTCTGCTGACCGGCACACTGACACTGCATGACCCCCTACTGACCCGCAAACTGACACTACATGACCCCGTGCCCCCTACTGACCAGCAAACTGACACTGCATGACCCCCTACTGACTCAGCTGGCCACACACTAAAAGCTTATGAACATTTTTATTCACAACTTCGTTCTTAATTTGTCCATACAGGCGTATTAAAAAATGCGTAAGCAGTGCACGTACACAGAACTCAGTAAGCTATAAATAAAAATGTTCATAATAAGCTTTTAGTATGTGCACGCTAAAACTGCATCATGACCATTGCTGACCCCACTAGCGTACTAAAACTGCAAGGCCCTTCTCGCCTCTGTTATGCACGAGCCGTGGTCCATAGACCCAAGACCAAGTAAGACCCCTGCCTTAATTTTGCTTACACTGTACCGCATGCAGGCGAGCGAGTGGGTTGCATACTGACACGGGGCTGATGGCGCTGTGGTGAGCTATGGTAGGCAAGCCCACCCGCACGCCTGCATGCGGTATAGTGTACGCAAAATGAAGGAAGGGGTCTTTAAACCACCTCGTACTCACTAGATTCCCCCCTCCCTCTCAAAAAGAATAAATTCTGGAACCCCTTGTTACTAAAATACTCTCTGAAAATGCACTTTGGCTGCTGAAGCCTGAGGCCAATCAAATCTGTTGCACATTTTAATTCCGTTGCTGTTGTCCGTTGCCCGGGCGGCTGAAGTAGAGGAACCAAACTTCGACTTTCATCAAGGGTTGTTTTTCTGGACAAGACACTAGTCTTCATAGTCTTCACTATATGTATACTCGAGGACTATCACATCACACACACAGACACACACTCACCCACGGACTGCCATGGTGACTGACGACGGTGGCGAGCGTGCGCGTGTTCAGTTACATGACGCACTTGCCGACGAGGCTGTGCACAGGGGCGTCCAACGCGCGTCCACCGGCCGGGTCCGCGAGGGCAGAGCGGCACAGCCGGGCACAGCCGCACCGGAGCAGCCGAACTCTATGTAGAAGCGCGAGGGCCTGAAGCCCCGCTGCCTATGCGCGCCGCGCCTGTCCCGCTGCCCTGGAGAGGAGGAATGGCTACGCTCCCGCAGCTGATGTGGTTCCTCCCCCCCCTCCCCTTCTCGCCCTCCCCTCCTCCCCTCCCCTCCTCCCCCTTGCCCACAGCCCGCCCGAAAGGACGGTAGGTGGCGGAGGGGCGTAAGGGATACGGGCCCACCAAGGTGAACTGGGTTCAAACGGAGGGAGGGGGATCAAAACACGCGCGGCAGAGGCGGAGGGGAGGAAGGGGGGGGGGGAGGAGGGAGCTAGGCCAGCCCAGCTCTTTGCCGCTCTCTGCCCACCTGCTGCAGACAAAGAAGGTCATGGAGCTCGGCATGCTGCGCGCTGCCCCTCCCCCCCCCCTTTCTCTCTCTCTCGAGCTCACCACATCCACATCCACCTTTTACGCTGTACTTCCCCGCTGGCCTATGTGCACCCCACTACCATCTTGAAGAATTTGAATTCCCCCTTCTCCCAGCACTACCAACACACCACGACGACACACATCTCCACACAGCCTCCAAGCTCCTCTCCCAATCTCCATCTCCAGTCACGCCGTCTCGCAAAGTAAGCACAGCACAACTTTGCAGTATGTATTTTCAGGAGAGAAAAAACCCGGAAAAGGCAATATTTGTTGATGTTGTTATAGAATTGGAACCAATATTTGTTGAATTTGTTAGAATAAACCATTCGGGTAAAGCTGAAATGCAGAAGAATGCGAGGAACCAGAAAACGGAAGTCACCGTGTTGACGCATCGCGATTTCTGTTTTCTTCTTCCCCGCATTCTTCTTCATTACAGCAATCCCGGAATGCTTTATTGGATATGGTAAAGTTACCCCTCCCTCCTCCTTTTCTCCTCCTAATAAACTTTTGAATCAGTTGAAACATCGAGGTGTGGCTGGTGAGAAAACACAACACGCTGGAGCGGCGGCACTAAAGCGTCTGTTTCCATTCATTGCCAGGCTCTGGAGAGGCGCGGCCCGGCAGCGAGGCGCGGGCTCGGCGCCAAAAGCATGTGCGTATACTCGCACTCGCCCGTCGCGTACTCGACTGCGTACTATACTCACGGGCTCTGCGGCGCCCCCGGCAAGTTAAACACACCGACACTTCTTATACTCACAAACAACCGCGCACCACCGGCGAGCCGGCCGGGCGCAGCGTGCGCGCTTTGCACCCAACAAGTATAGTGTGTGAGCGTGCACCGGTGGCGTGACCCCGCGCCCCGCTGGCCCCGCGTCCCCTGTCCCGCGCAGCAGCCCTCCCGATGGGATGGGCCCGATACTTACGGACGGGAGTCTGCGAGGCGGTGGCGACGGAAACATGGCGCTAAAGGGAACGCCCCACCCCGCCCCGCCTCACCCCGCTACGCCTCGCCACGCCACGCGCCACTGCAGCAGAGGACATGAGGCGCATAGAGAAACCGCTATTGTTTCATTTTGGCGGCGCGACTGCACGGCGGCGGGCGTGGCGTGGCGTGGGGCCGATGTGCAGGAGAAGGGTACGGGAGGGTGGGGCGAGTGGAGGAGGGGGGGGAGGGAGAAAGGTGGCCGCCGACTGATATGGGACTTCCGCCAACGTGCAGTGT